ACATTAAGCCTCTCTTAGGAGACTGGAGAGATGAAGTTGTCTTCTGTCACTCTCGCATATGTCGTACTTTTTTGTACGGCCACATTTTCATGTGGACGTATAGTGTCGTCGCACCTGTCCATCCAGATGTCCGTCCATAATTTGTTTGTGGACACTCTACAGGTCACAAATTTTATCCGATTTTGAAGAAACTTGAAATATAGGTCTATCTTGGCATATCGGCATGTATCGGACCATAACTTCATGGATTATGGCCCCTTATTGTACGAAAAATCACGTTTTTATACGCCCACATTTTCATGTGGACGTATATTGTCGTCGCTCCTGTCCGTCCGTCCACAATTGTTTGTGGAGACTCTACAGGTCACAATTCTTATCCGATTTCAACGAAACTTGAAATATAGGTTTATCTCCCAAAGATCTTGGTTCCTTTCGATATTGGCATATATCGGACCGTAACTCCCTGCATTATGGCCCCTGATTGTACGAAAAATCGCTTTTTTAGTTTGTGAACCCATTTTTTATCCGATTTTGTTGAAACTTGAAATGTAAGTTTATAACCCAAAGTTCTCGGTTCCTTTCGATATTCGCGCATATCGGACCGTAACTTCCTGAATTATATATATATCACTGTTACATCCTAAGGATGGTTGAGTTCGAATTTCGTAAAAATCGGACCAAAACTGACAGACAAAATGGCCGCCGCTCGTAAAAATAGCGTATATCAAGGTTGTGGACACTCTTTCTACAGGTCACAATTTTTATACGCCCACGTTTTCATGTTGACGTATATTGTCTGTGCCCCTGTCCGTCCCTCTGCAGGTCACAATTTTTATCCAATTTCAATGAAACTTGAAATATAGGTTTATCACCCCAAGATCTTGGTTCCTTTCGATATTGGCATGTATCGGATTGTAACTTCATTGATTATGGCCCTTGATTGTACGAAAAATCATGTTTTTAGCTTGTGAATACTGGAGAGGTCACAATTTTTTTCCGATTTGGTTTAAACTTGAAATGTAAGTTTATAACCCAAAGATCTCGGTTCCTTTCGATATTCGCGCATATCAGACCATAACTTCCGGAATTATGGCCCCTGACTGTACGAAAAATCGTGTTTTTATCTTGTAGACCCCATAGAGGTGACAATTTTTATCCGATTTAAAAATCTGTTACAATATATCACTGTTACACCCTAAGTGTGGTTGAGTTCGAATTTCGTAAATATCGGACAGAAACTAACGGACAAAATGGCCGCCCCATGTTCGCAAATAGTGTCAAAATATTGTGTATCAGGGTTGTGGACCCTCTGGAGGTCACCATTTGTTATCTGATTTTGATGAAACTTGAAATGTATGTTTATAACCCACAGATCTAGATTCATTTCGATATTCTCGCATATCGAATCATAACTTCCTGAAATATGGCCCCTGATTGTACGAAAAATCGCGTTTTCAGCTTGTGGTCCCTGTAGAGGTCACAATTTTAATCAGATTAAAAAATAAAAAAAACGTGGGATAATCCTATTGATAATTGCGAATACCAGAACTTAACTTCCTGGTTCATGGCCTCTGATTGTTCGAAAGATTGCATTTTTGTCCCCCGCCTTTCGAAGAAAGCAGGGGACTATTAAAATGGGTTCGTCCGTCTGTCTGTCTGTCCGTCCGTCTGTCTGTCCGTCACACTTTTTGGGACACAATAACTCTCTTCCTAATTGAGCTAGAATGTTCAAACTTGGTGTATGTGTTTATTAGGTCAATGCCTTGATGGAGTTCGAAGATGAGCATTTTCCGCTTAGGGTAAGCAGAGATAAGCAATTTGATTGGTTGATGCTTTGGGACACGATAACTCTCTTCCTAATTGGGCTAGAATGTTCAAACTTGGTGTAGGTGTTTATTAGGTCAATGCCTTGATGGAGTTCGAAGATGAGCATTTTCTGCTTAGGGTAAGCAGCGATAAGCAATTTGATTGGTTGATGCTTTGGGACACGATAACTTGAGTTCTAATTAAGTGAGAGTGATGAAACTTGGTGTATAGTTTTATTACATCAATACCTTGACTAAGTTCGATAATAAGCATTTTCTGCTTATGGGTAAGCAGAGCGATAAGCAATTTGATTGGGTGAGACTTTGGAACACATTAACTCTCCTTCTAATTGAGCTAGAATGTTCAAACTTGGTGTAGGTGTTTATTAGGTGAATGCCTTGATAGAGTTCGAAGATGAGCATTTTCTGTGTCTGTCTGTCCGTCTGTCTGTCCGTCACACTTTTTGGGACACAATAACTCTCTTCCTAATTGAGCTAGAATGTTCAAACTTGGTGTATGTGTTTATTAGGTCAATGCCTTGATGGAGTTCAAAGATGAGCATTTTCCGCTTAGGGTAAGCAGAGATAAGCGATTTGATTGGTTGATGCTTTGGGACACGATAACTCTATTCCTAATTGGGCTAGAATGTTCAAACTTGGTGTATGTGTTGATTAGGTCAATGCCTTGTTCTAATTGGGCTAGAATGTTCAAACTTGGTGTAGGTGTTTATTAGGTCAATGCCTTGATGGAGTTCGAAGATGAGCATTTTCTGCTTAGGGTAAGCAGCGATAAGCAATTTGATTGGTTGATGCTTTGGGACACGATAACTTGAGTTCTAATTAAGTGAGAGTGATGAAACTTGGTGTATAGTTTTATTACATCAATACCTTGACTAAGTTCGATAATAAGCATTTTCTGCTTATGGGTAAGCAGAGCGATAAGCAATTTGATTGGGTGAGACTTTGGAACACATTAACTCTCCTTCTAATTGAGCTAGAATGTTCAAACTTGGTGTAGGTGTTTATTAGGTGAATGCCTTGATAGAGTTCGAAGATGAGCATTTTCTGCTAAGGGTAAGCAGAGATAAGCAATTTGATTGGTCGATGCTTTGGGACACGATAACTTTAGTTCTAATTAAGTGAGAGTGGGGACACTTAGTGTATAGGTTTATCTCATCAATACCTTGAGTAAGTTCCATAAATAAGCATTTTCTGCTTATGGGTAAGCAGAGCGATAAGCAATTTGATTGGTCGAGACTTTGGAACACAACTCTCCTTCTAATTGAGGAAGAATGTTCATACTTGGTGTAGGCATTCATTAGGTGAATGTCTTGATGGAGTTCGATGATAAAGCTTGTCTGCTTACGGTCAGCAGAGATAAGCAATCTGATTGGTTGATAACTTTGGTTTTAATTAAGTGAGAGTGATGAAACTCTGAGTATAGATTCGTTATATCATTACCTTGACTAAGTTTGTTAATGAGAATTTTCTGCTTAGGCTAAGGATCGATAACTTTGATTCTATATGATAGAGAGTGATCAAACTTAGTGTATAGGTGATAATTTGTTTGATTGCTTGATATTTTTGAAAAAAAAATAAATGTGCGATTAATGAATATGTGTCATCTATTTATTTTGGGATTTCGGCGGGGGACATCAGCCTCACTGTTGGCTTGTTAGCTTGCAGATTGTCTAGAGTTCACAATTTTTTTCCGATTTTAAAAACCGTTTAAATACATCACCATTCCACCATAATGAAGGTTGAATTCGTATTTCGGGAAAATTGAAATGAAACTGCCCGACAAAATGGCCGCTCTTTCCACGCAAATTGTTTAGAAGTGTGTAATACCAAAGATCTCTGTCCCTTTCGATATTTGCACATTTCAGGCCATAACTTTCTGAATTATTGCTCCTGATTGTACAAAAAATCATGTTTGTTTTTAGCTCGTTCTCTATCCATCTCTTGTAAAATGTGGGCGTATCCTGCCTGGCAGCCGCTGGTTGTACACCCTCATGGAAATGTGGTCGTATATTTATGTTGCCTCTGTCCGTCTGTCCGTCGTCCACAATCTCTTGTGAACACTCTACAGTCTACTTTTATCATCCGATCTGTATTAGATTTATATGCATTATTTAAATTGGTCAAATGAAAAAGCCTCAATTTCAGCCATTTCCATTAATTACTTCTAGAGTTATGACCCTTGTTTCACTTTGTAGAACCTTGTGAACTCTCTACAGAGAAAAGTTATCATCTGATCTGTATGAAATTAATATGCATCATTGAAATTAGTAAAGCGAAGAAGGCTATTGAATTTCAGCAATTTCCAATAACTACTAGTGTTCTGGTCCTTTCTTCAATTTGTTGAATCTTGTGAACACTCGAATGATGAAAGTTATCATCTGGTCTGTATCAAATTTATATGCATCATTTAAATTAGTGAAATGATGAATCCTATTGAATTTTAGAAATTTACTTCTAAAGTTATTGTGCAAGTTTTACTTTGATTCAAGAGCTTTGTCGACCGCTTGGACGATTTATCTTCTGCGGGTGTATGTTTCGTTGCCTGGCAACCTATCTTATTCAATTTTTGTATGAAGCATAAGAGGGTCGATAAGCTGCTGTTTGGCTATCTTTATATATGCCAACATAGAATTGTGAACGTATATTGCCGTCACCCCGTCCATCCGTGTGTCTGTTCGTCGGTCTATCAGTCTGTTTTTCACAATTTCTTGTGAGCACTGTACGAACTAGATTTATCATCTGATTGTTTTGAAATTGATATATACTCTTCAAAAAAAGTAGGGGATATTCAGAAACAATACAAAACTGCGGAACTGCATTATGGCCCTTTTTTTCACTTTGTTGAACCTTGTGAACACTCAAAGGACAAAAGTTATCATCCGATCTGTATGAAATTTATATGCATTATTTAAATTAGTAAATGGAAAAAGTCTTGTAGAATTAAAGCCCTTGTTTCAGTTTGTAGAACCTTGTGAACCTTCAGACGACAAATATTACAAACTGATCTGTATGAAATTGTCTTGTAAATGCCCCCCCCCCCCCATTACAAAGAACAAATATGTGACAACTATTGTCGACCGCTCAGATGATTTACCTGATGTGGGCGTATGTTTAGTTGCCTGGCATCCTATCTTTTTCAGTGCTCTAACTTCACAAATATAAAATCTTTTACAGAAAGTGATGAAAGCATTGGTTCAGATGATGAGCCAGAAACAGATGACAAACCTCCATGCTTATCTGAAAGTAAGTCAATGCTTAAAACACTTGAAGGATATATGCCTGAATCAGGACTGGAGACAACCTTAGAAGAAGCTCCTCAATTGGAAGCTGTTATATCGTTTGAAGAATTAATGAAAGAAACACTTTTGCCATTTCATGATAATCCTGAAAATAAATCATTGTATGAATCAGTTATTGAAGAAGACGGTTTAGAAAGCATTGAAGAAAAAGGTTCTTGTGTTCACAACAATGAATATTCAAAGAAAGAAACTGTTAAAGATACCCAAGAGAAGTCAAAAGAAAGCACCAAAGAATCTAATGAGAAAACAAAAGAAGTGGAAATGATGAAAGAAATCAAAGAAGCAAAAGCTAAAGAAGGGAAAGATGTCTTTGGTCTGCTTTATTCTGAAAATAAGTCCATAGAAGTCATCAAAACTGTTTCAATATATGATTTTGTTGAAGATACAGAGTTCGCCAGCAATTTTACTATTGATGAGAAAATGTTGGAGAAGAAAGATACAAGCGATTACGACCTTGATGACATATTAAAAGCAGTACTCTCTCCAGATAACTGTAAAGGTGACAGAGTAGAAGAAATGAAGTCAGAATTGGAAAGGGAAACACAAGAACTAGAAAGAAAGAAAATAGACCTAGAAAAGGGGAAAAATGAGCTGGAAGAATTAATAAAACAAGATGAAAGACTGGATATGAAAAGCATTCAAGAAGCAGAGAAAAAAGTGAAAGGAAAAAAGAAAGATCTTAAAGAAAAGCGTGACATTAAGAGAGGACGTCCTGCTTTAGAACGGCAGCAAGAGGAATCACAAGGAGCTAATAAACAGATGGATTTCATGTCAGTTTGTAGTTCAAGATCTATTTCCTCAGTACACATGGTTAATGAATGTATAGATTCAACAGATCAAATCCATGAAAAGAAGAAAAATGAAATAACAGACTCTAATGTCAAAACAGAAAACAAAAAGGATTTAACAGAAACATGTTCTGTGATTTCCAAGAGAAGCTCAGATATTGAATTAAAAGATGATTTAGACCTGATTGAAAAGAAAAAGCTTAAAAAAAAAATGAAGAAGAAGATTTTTGGTGAAAATTTAAGTGACTCTCCAGAACCCCTTGCATTTAGTGATTTGACAAAGGATAATTCGGATCAGTATAAAGCAGAAGACAAGAAAGAACTTACAGTATTTAAATATGTTCCAAAAGAAAGACTAATTAAACTAACTAAGAAATCAAAAGATCTTGACACAAAAGATAAGAATCCAGAAGTAGCCAGTATAGTAGAAAAAAAAGATAAATATCTCCAGTTTCATTCTGAATGTATGGAAAACAAAATAAAAATTACTAAATTTGGTATATCGGATGATGTTGAAACAATGCTTGGTTCTAGTTCAAAATCATCCTGTAATAGTTCTAGCATAGAAACATCAGAATTGAACAATGCTGATCTGATTAAATCTTGCCCTATGTATTTAGAGGAACCTAAGGTTGCTAATGTTATCAAACAAGAAACACCAGAACAGAGAAAACATAATGATATTACTAATACATGCACCAGAACAGAACTTACTACCAAGCCTCCGGAAGTCATCTTGATGAGTACAGCTGACCAAGCCTCAAACTGTGGTGCAGAATCCCCTGGTACTGGTGGAAAATTAATAGAAGAAACAGAAAGTAGTGTGATACCTAGTTCTGAAAATAGCATTGATATAGAGGTCACATGCATTAAACGGAAGAATGAAACTGATGATCAGTCACCTACAAAAAAATACAAAAGAAGGTCAAGTAATAAGAATACTAAATACAATGAAAAAAAAAAAATGGGATTCACAGGTATGGTTTTGTATTTTATCTTTATTTACACTAATATTAGGCATGTGTTTATCATGGTTGATTATAATCTGCTTTTGAATTGGAATTCTGCTTTTTATATGCATTTTAAAGTTATTATATAATTTATGTTGATCCATTGGTCATTTATCTGCAACATCACAATTTGAATAGTTATGCCCCTTATTCAGAAAATTTTGTGAATCTTATAGTTTTCTTTTCCAATTTGGTGTGAAGCATTTTAGTTATGAGAGGAGGCCAAACCCTATCGATATTCAGTGTTCAGCAGCCTTACACAGGAACGACAAAAGTGATCATCTGATCTGTATGAAATTTACATGCATTATGTAAATTAGTAAAGCAAAGAAGTCTATGGAATTTCAACAATTCTGTTAGTTACTTCTAGATTTATGTCCCTTGTAGACTACCCGGCCGATTTAGCTGCTCTGGGTGTATGTTTTGTTGCTTGACAGCCTATCTTTCCAGAGTTATCCCTATTTAACCCTTTCCGTCCGCTCGTCAACAAATGGCTTATGAACGCGATAGAGGCTATATTTATAACAGATCCTTATCAAATTTGATGTTAAGCATCGTGGTCATGAGATGATGAACCCTATCGATATTCAGTACTCCAACACCTTCAGGGTACGAAATAACATGCGAACGGTTGTTCATGTTACGCATCGGTTACCATGACCAGGAAACACGCGAACAGACTTCCGTTCTTGACCACCGAGCTATAGTTTATAAACTGAAGGTTTCAGTTAAATTATTCCCCCACTCCTACGTTAAAAACATATTACAACTATAAGTAAATAGAGGTCATAATTTTTATCCGATTTTAAAAACGTTACGCCCTAAGGATGGCTGAGTTTGAATTTCGTGAAAATCGGTCTAAAATTGACAGACAAAATGGCCGCTGTTCATTCTCAAATAGCGCAAAAATATGGTATATCAAGGTTCTGGACCTTCTAGAGGTCACAATTTTTATCCTATTTTGACGAAACTTGAAATGTAAGTTTATAACCCAAAGATCTCGGTTCCTTTCGATATTCCCGCATATCGGACCGTAACTTCCTGAATTATGGCCCCTGATTGTACGAAAAATTGCATTTTTAGCTTGTCGAGCCTATAGAGGTCATAATTTTTATCCGATTTAAAAAAACCTTATTATTATATTTCTGTTACACCCTAAGGACAGCTGAGTTCAAATTTCATGAAAATCGGCCCAAAATTGACAGACGAAATGGCTGCTGTTCGTTCTCAAATAGCGTAAAAATATGGTATATCAAAGTTGTGGACCCTATAGAGGTCACAATTTTTATACGCCCACATTTTCATGTGGACGTATTATGCCGTCGCCCATGTCCGTCCGGACGTCCGTCTGTCTGTCTGTCCGTCCGTCCACAATTGTTTGTGGACTCACTACAGGTCACAATTCTTATCCGATTTTGACGAAACTTGAAATATAGGTTTATCCCCAAAAGATCTTGGCTGCTTTCGATATTGCTTTCGATATAACTTCCTGAATTATGGCCCCTGATTGTACGAAAAATCGCGTTTTTAGCTTGTGGTCCCTATAGAGGTCATAATTTTTATCCGATTTTAAAAAACGTATTATTGTATCACCGTTACACCCTAAGGATGGCTGAGTTTGAATTTCGTGAAAATCGGCCCAGATAAAATAGCCGCCCTTCCTTCTCAAATAGCGTAAAAATAGGGTATATCAAAGTTGTGGACCCTATAGAAGTCACAATTTTTATCCGATTTTGTTGAAACTTGAAATGTAGGTTCATAACACAAAGATCTCAGTTCCTTTCGATATTTGCGCATATCGAATTGTAATTTCCTGAATTATGGCCCTTGCTTGTAGGAAAAATCACTTTCTTCTTAGCTTGTTCTCTATCCATCTCTCGAAAATGTGGGCATATCCTGCCTGGCAGCCGCTGGTTATCCTATTGAGTAAGACTAATTTATTACAATCGATTTATATACGAGTCAAGTATTACCTTAACCATATACGAGTCTGCTTCTGAACGGGTTAACTGACACCCGTTCAACTTGTAAATTCCAAATACAAACTGCATACCGTATTCATGCCATAGACACTAATATCCTAATTTAAAAAAACGTTCCGTTTCCAATAATTATCCCAGATCTTGTGAATTCGAGCCTCTTCAATAGTTATAAAGCACATAAAAGAGTTTAGAAGAAATTGCCTAACAGAAAAATCATGCTTTATAAGTTGTTAAAGGGACCATGGGGCTATTTAAGGAATGACATTTGTGCACAATGCAACGAAATAATTACCACCGGTGTAAGGAATTATTTTGACAGAATATGTCAACTGCAAATGTGATGACTAAACATCAGTTTGTTCAGAAGACGCTCTGCATGCACGGACTTTCAAGTCTGTACCGATTAAAAAAAAATAAACAATCCCACATATCCACATTCCTAAGAACAGGAGTTTTACTGTAACACAGTAATCACAATTACTTGTTACAAATTGGTATTACATGCAACGGGTGGAGTGGGGGGCTGGCCAAATCACGACGAATAACTTTTTCATTAGTCATATTGTAAGTGTAACTGTGTTTTCTTTATTTTGACATTCTGCTAATTGAGAAACCATTTGAGTAATAAATAAAGGTTATTGAATGGACATCGACATCTCTTTTCAAAATTTGGAATTATTACTACTGACAATTAACAATAAAAGTCATATTGTCCACACAACTACAGCAAGGTAACAAACAGTTTGTTGTTAAAGGGGCATCTGAAATAAAGTTTGGCAAAGTTATGCGTTACATATAAGCATGAAATGTATTTAGTAGGTTTTTTTTGATCTTCAGCGAAAAAGGGTCGTCGTTGTATAATAATAAAAAGAAATAAAGAGTTTGAATTATTAGTTTATTTTCACGTTTTGTCTTACACAGTAGACATATTGTTAGCTTCTGACACATGTGTATTAATTCTACAAGCCTTCAACCAAAAATGCTTTCAATAGATCTCATATTATGTAATATATGATTGGTGCAATACCCATGCTGTTAGTCTTAATTGCGAAGACATTTAAACAAAAGGATTTAATCAGGGTAGGGAGTCGACGTGTACACACGTAAATCAGATGCGTGAGATTTATCATTTGTGGTTGTGTTGTCAGTGTGAGAAATATTGTTTTAAATGGATATATAAATACACGTTTTATGATTGTGGACGAAACGGTATGTGCATCTCAAGAAAGCTTTGCTTCGGAACAGTCCCGTTGCCATTAAAAATCCAACGTCTGTTTCACCGTAGTGATAATGACAGGCATTACAGATACCTGCCGTCGTATGAATCCTGAAAAATAATATTTCACCTTATCGCAACAGGTCAGTACTAAAACTAAAACTTATTACAGTATTTCAAAATTGTATCACCGAATAGTGATATTAATTTATCACCGAATAGTGATATTAATTTCTTTTTAAATAATGCATAATTTAATTCTTACTTCTATATTCATCAATATGGCTGACTTTATACTATTCATTGATTTAGATTTTAATATTTTGATTTAAACCCCTTAAAGTGATTGCCCTAAGCAAGAATGGTCTTGACTGTTGGTACTTTTGGCACTAGAACTTGAAACATCTTTCATCGCTGCCTCACTGTCAAAATTTATTTGACACATTGTTTCTCTTGTCACCATGAACACAGGGTTATTCCCAACAGCCACATCTTTAGTATCAGGAACATTTTGGACACCCACATCCTTTTTACTGGAGACCACAGAAATCTGTACTTTTTGGGCATCCTTCTTAGCAAACAATTCTGTCGCTATCTATCCCTTTGTCTTTTGGCAAAAGAACGATATTTCTTTTCTGGACTGGGTAATGAATTTTCTGAGAGGCCCTATTTAAAGCTGATTTCTGTAGAACCCCTATCCTGTTTGAGACTCAAGACATTGTAGTTGATTCAGATTTCTTATTGCTGCTACTGCTGCTGAAGGAAGAATAAAGTTGATATCCATCCCTTCTTCTTTCAAATATGTTTACAATTTATCTCGTTTAGCTGTACCGGAATCAAGAGTAGACAATTTTGTTCACTCTACCCGCTTTCTCCAACATATAACACCGTTCGACTTTCAGGGAATGTAGCTCGTCGATGTGTGTTCTCTAAGTATCAGAAATGAATACAGATTCTTGGAATGGATCTTCAACACTTTATTTCAGGAGCAAATAATTAACAGCAACAATTTAACAACTTATAATTTCATATATATCGGACCTCCAACTAGTATGTTCCCTAAGCTGGTCTCTCCAACTAATGTCATCATCTAACATACATGTGTCTATTTATACAAATCAGTTACTTAGAAAGTGTTGACATAAACATATAATTATTGAAGGATTAAGATTTAAGGCATTTAAAACAATAGTTAGATGAAACTTAACAGATCAACCACTTTAGTTGCCAGTCTGTCATAATTTGACTGACAGGTTAATTGCTGCCTGCCTCTAATGACTAACCAAGCATTAATGAAAATTAAAATATAGATTTGAAATTTAAAACAGAATTGAAAAATAATAAAATAACATATGACCTTGGTGATATATCCCCCTTACTTCAATTCAAACAAAAACATTACCCCATGTTTTAAGCATTTAATAAAATCAAAAATCTTTATTTTTCGATTAATCAAAGTAACATAATCTATCCCTTTTTTTCATGATAATAATTTCTATTTCTGTACATAGGATTCCTGTGAGGCATAAAATAATGTTCTTGCAATTTGTACTGGTTAACTTTTTGATCAGGTAAACATAATTTGGGACGTATCGGTATAACGGCATAATGTTTCGGTGGATCAAAAGCATTCTGAGCGATAGAAGGATACAGGTGAATGTTGGCAGATTCCTGAGTGCCGTAAAAACATTAGAAAATGGCACGCCTCAGGGGGCGGTCATCAGTCCCACCCTCTTCAATATCTTGATCAATGACATACAGAAATCGTC